TTTTTTTTTTTTTTTTGCAAGCAAGCAGCAAACTTTGGACTACAAGATGACCCTGCCTTTACTCCAAACATGTTGAGATCTCGACAACAGCAAACTTCAAAGACTTTGCACTCAGACCTAACAAGAAGCAACATGCTTCCTCGGGTGCGCCTGATGTTCTCTTAGATGCCTTCACATTAAAGTACACTTTAAAATGTTTCACTTCTCACTCAGTTTATCTGTAGCTTATTGATGCATTGCTCACTATTTATTCGTGTTTCTATTTCAAACATGATTTACAGTATTTTGCAATTTGTGAAGTTGTATAATAAAGTTTTAAAGCCAAAAGATGATTGCCTTGTATGATTCGTTTAGTGGTTTGCAGCAGCTTACTCTGCAGACGCAACAGGTCTTTAATCCGGGCAATAAGTGCACAAAGGGCTGCACCTCCCTGGCCCCTGACATGTAAGCAGCCCGGACATGACAGTGCTTTCCCCGGTTACCAGTCCTTATTTTCCTTTTAATGAGCATTGGAAGCAGAGTCTCCCTACACAAAACATTGCGTAAAAATAATATTGCTCATTGTCATCGTCGTTAATGAGAGATGACATAATTACTAGGACCATTTCTTCTCTAATTAGCACACTTCAGACTTGTCAGAGCTAGTTGCCGGGCAAAAGGGAATCAGACAGGCATGCCGAAAGGGAAACAAAAAGAAGTCCATCCGCCATAATTAGGTAAGACAATGCCTCGGACTGTTCTCGGCTGGAGATGTCGCTGGAGCTCTGGCCGCTCACTCCCAACAAGTTACACTTCTCCGCAGGCCGCTAATAAGCCCCTCTTCGTCTTTCCGATTCACACGGACAGAGGGTCCGCCGTTGCCTCTGCGGCTTCACCCCCTGCCTCTCACGCGGACCCTGATTCACCCCTGTGATTCTAACGTGGATAATTTAAACAATCTGCAGGTTTAAAAAAGAAAAAAAAAGGGTTACTTCCTTCCCAATGTGTTCTGCTAGAGCTGAACGAGACTGAGAAGATATCCGAGGAGCCTCGAACGCAGCTGTGGACCGGCAGCGAGAGGACGAAGAGTCAATTGTGTTTTACATATCTATCTGGGTTTACCTTAAATGTAGTTTTCTATTTACCACACTATTAAAATCCCCTTGTGTCAATGATAGCCTACTCTTGGATTGATGGAAGGTGGACGATGAGCCAATTCAGTTAAACTGACCCTAATGTTGTAGCCTGTAGGTCTTCCTTGGCTTTTGTAAATTTGTATTGCATTTCTAGCTGTAATGCTACCCAAATATTGTAGTTATTTTCTTTCCATTTTATGGAGACGGATTGACAGTGCCAACTAATCAGTTAAAAAATTAATTGACCTACAAGCGATCTGTTCATCCAGGTAAATATGATTAAAAGAGGGGTTTTCTGATGGGGAAAACGTGAGGGTGTTAAAGCCTATAGGCCATATTAGATACCGCGCTGGGTCTGTTTAAATGTTTTGTTTTTACTGTCGTGATAACGAGCCTAATTATACACTTTTTCCTAAACCTTAATTGTACTATTTTATGAAACGATACTATGCCTTGTAACAAGTATACAATTGTAATTAAGGCTATTCCCTGTTACATGTTTGCTCGTATTCAATAGGCACCTGGATGTGGCCTGCTGTCTGGCACTGGTTGCATGCGGACACTTGTTGCTGCTGACCGATGAGCATGCAGTCTGCTGAGCTGAGCGTTGATGTGGTAAGCGACCTGACATCCTCAATACGCTACACGCACTGCTGGCTGCCTGTCACCCTCAGCCTGCCTGCCTCCAGCCTGCTGAAGAAACGGGTCAGTCCCTGCAGAGTTGCTCATCCATACGGAATGGGGGAAAATCCCAGCTCCTCCATCCACCTATCCATCCACCATCCTTCCGCTGCGCGCTGCCGTGACCTCACATAGCCTCTGTGCCCCGACAAACGTCAATCCGATGTGCCTTGAGTCTTTAAATTAGCTGTCAATTAGGGCAAATTAATCAACTGCTCGCCTAATTAAGCAATGTAGACGGGCAGCTACCAAACATGCCATTGTTGGGGAGCCATGAGAAAGCTGCGGGGCCTGCAAACTTTCTCTGTAGCCTACAAGGGAGGGAGGGAAGGAGGGGCGGTAGGGGGGGAGGGGGAGGGGGTGGACATCACGCCCCACAAATTGCATTGGGAAAGCAGAGGCTCCGACTGTGCTCGAGTTTTTTTCCCCTGACTCGACTCTACATGTGTGCTGTCATCGAGTTTTCTGCAGCCGGTTCCAATGAAGCAGCGTGAAAGCACTACTGAACCACACCACATTTTTCTATCCTCATTACTAAAAAAATTACTAAAAATGGCTTTACCACACTTTGATCAGCCTAATAAGGAAGTGCCAATGATTAAATCAATCAAGCAATCAATCAGTTTTTTTATTCAAATAGAGCCAAATCATATCAAAAGCAATCTCAGGACACTTGACAACAACAACAAAAAACTGGTCTAGACTGTAAAGTTTGCTGTATTATTTGGACACGCAACATAAATCTACCATGGACGAGCACTCGGCAATACAGAGAAGCATCCATTAAACCGGCAGAAACCTCGAGCAGAACCAGACTCGTTGATGCCATAAAGCGTTGTCCGGATAGGCAGAGGATTGAATTGAATATATATATTTAGAAGTCCGTAAAATAAATTATTCTTTTATGCAAAACATGTCTGGGGATTATTTGACGCATAAAGTAATATCTGCTTTGACCTTCCAGTCAAGAAAAAGTTATTCATTATCGAATATGCGTTTCATGCGTTTCCAGGCGCATCAGCAGGATGTGATATTCATTGTAGTGGGCGTTTTTTCTTACAGCTGCTCATCAGGTTTCGACCTGCAGTAATACAGCTGTGTGAAGGTTACAGACTATGTCTTCATCACTGCATATTTAGCATGTGCGGATCCATTTGAACAGGACACGTTATTTGCCTTTTCCATTACTCAATTAAAAATGCAAAGAAGTATGAGAGGAGGGAGGGAGGGAAAAAGAGATGTTGGTGTAGACGATGGTGATTAGGTGGAGGTGGAAGTGGGGCTTGGGGGGTGGCAAATAAACAAAAATGTCCCAACAGCTGTTATCTTTTTTTAATCTGCAGCCGTCAGATCCTGCAGCTCTTTGATGGGCAAACCCAATCTACACAAATGACTGAACTACATCTTCCCTTAATCTCGAGCCTTATTAGGCAGCTTCTCCTCTGCATGTAAATCAGCGAGCAGACAGTTTTAGAGGAGATGGATTATTAAAAAGCTACACACAGAGGACTCAAACAAACCAAAAATAAAGAAGCCATTGGATTTCAGCAGGAGTGATGATGGAGTGAGAGTGGCAGTAACTCGCCTGTAATTGACAGGTCATCCTGACTCACAGCCTCTGTGTTAATAAACGACTCTATCCCAACAGGCTGATGTGTCATTAGCATATCCTGATAACACTGATTTCTTCATTAATAGAATTTCCACTAAATAGGCTCCAATTACTTTCAACTGGCCGGACACTAATTGCAGCAGCAACATTTTCTCCCTTTAATCAGCAGCTACTTTCACACAGTTTGATATTAAATATGACTTAAAGGTCCAGTTACTATTCACATACATTATGCTTGAGCCGCAATGCCTGTGTACATCTAACCAGCATCCTCTCAGGTACGTGACTCGATTTTTCTGCGTTTTCTCGCAGTAGGCCATTATGCGCATGTGCATTTTCTTACTGAAGGGTTTCCTTATAGGCCTTTTTTTTTTTTTTTTTTTGAAGAATACCCATATAGAAGAATACCCATATTTAGTTTATAGAACCGATACATTAAACGTAAACTAAAATATGCAAATCTCTACCTCCCCTTTCATTTCCCAAGTGAATTCATGATATAAATGATGAAAAATAACAACAGGATATCCATAGGTACCATGATTTTTTATTTTTGGCACAAATATGTAAAATTAAACTCAAACAGAAACTCAACACTGTTATTATCTGTTTGCAACTAAAACACCAAGAAGAAAACATGGCGTTTTTTAAATAACATCAAATCATCAATCATATTATTTAAAGAAACAACATTACCCAAACCTCCAAGCATGTCTTTATTTTTTTTAACTACTTTTATGATATTGGACTCATGAATGGCCTTTAGTTAACATCGTTACTTTTCTATGGAAGCCATAATTAGCCATTAGGCTATGGGGCAAAGTTTGAGTCTGTATATAGATCAGACTGCAAGACAATTACTATTACATTGATCATAAAATATAGTTGTTTTTTTTAATTAAGTGATAGAAAAAAGGAACTTATTGTGAAAGTCTTTTACTCGTGTCTCATACTCTGTATGTATGGTTTGCAGTTTGGAATAATCTCTGCAGCCCTGATGTGGGATCAGGTCTGCAGCTCGCGCTCGGCTCCATGTCGTCCAGCTGTCGTATTTGGGAGGCTCTTTGATTCGCGTGTGATGAGTTTCTCACAGCATCTGGAGATCAATTATCGTGTGTGTGTGTGTGTGTGTGTGTGTGTGTGTGTGTCAGCGAAAGGCAATACTGATTTATTCTTAGAGATTGAGGTAATTTTCTCAGCCCACACAATTTCAAAGTACAGGCCTACTTGAGGTGTGAACGATGTAGATTGGCTTTCTGCATTCAGAAATAGACATTATGCATTACTATATCTGCAGTGAGTTTAGTCTGCTTAAAAAATGTCCCATATCGTTTTTATATGTTAAAGAATCAGCTTGTCAAATGTCATTCTTTTTCTCCATATATCGTGTTTCTTCTTGCACCCTTCTTCCTTCCTTCCTTCCTTTCTTTCTTTAGCCTAAATCCTCTCCGCGTTTATCCATACAGTCCTGAGAAAAATGCAGATATGATTCGGAGGGCGTATAATGCATCCATGATCCACAGGAATCCTGAATCCTTGCACCTGATTGGCTGCTGGCGGCAGCCCCTTGTTGGGATGGACCTGTTGGATAAAAGGACCATTTTCTAAAGGACTCTGGTGTGGCATAGAGGACCATGCACTGGGGACCATCCTGTGAGACGGTTTAGTAAGAATAAAGGCCTTTCTTGTATCGCACACAGCATGACGGGGAAACAGGGTGCTGTGCTGTCGGAAAGTTTAAATCTGTCGGAGAAAACCTCTCTGGGAGCGAATGGAGGAACAAACAGCCACCAGCCGAAGAGCAGCGCGCCTCATCCGCCACCCAGGTGCACCGGCTTCGGCATCCAGGAGATTCTGGGGCTGAACAAGGAGCCGTCCGCGGCACTAAGAAGTCCGCTGGGCTGTCTACCGGCCGGAGCGCACCTGATCGCCGCCAGGTCCCTGCTGGGCCCCGGAGGAATGGGGATGGGTGTGGGGATGGGATTAATCGGTCCTGGTGGAATTCCGTCGTTTTACAGCCAGCCAGCTTTTCTGGAGACGGTGCTGCAGGACGCACATGATGTTCACCTGCAGCCCCACAGCAGGTCCGTGGGCCCGCTGGAGACCAGCCAGTCCGCCAGCTCAGGTCAGCTGCAAACACTGTAATACTGAAAAATAAATAAATGATCACAGAGCAGACGAATGATTATTGTTATTAGTCCTATTATTATTATTATTATTATTATTATTATTAGGCCTATTATTATTATTATTATTATTATTATTATTATTATTATTATTATTATTATTAGTCCTATTATTTTGAATAGCATTATTTTAGTTGTCTGATAATTATAAATGAAATAACATCAATGCAATTAAATGAAAGCTGCTCTTAGTCATTGTTAACAGTCTCTTTTTCTAAATTTTCTTATTATTATTTCATCTAGACTCGGAGGATTTATCTTCAAATGAACGGAAACTCTCAAAGTCTTCAATGAGTCAGAGCAAGAAACGCAAGAAAAGACGTCATCGGTTAGTGTGGATCTCTGCTTAACAACGGATTATGATGTTCATTTTTACACACTGAGTTCTTCTTTTTCGTTCAACCCTTACACAATTGTCACGATTACGGTATTTCAGTCTGTCATAGTTTTATTCTTTGTGGGGGTTTTTTATGGAATCATTTATAGGCTACAGAAAATGTGATATTTCAAACACTGATTTAAATTGACTAGGCCTACTAATTAGCCTCAGATTGTTTATATTTTCTATTATCATTATTATTGACTTTAAAAAGTGTGAAACTTATCCTGAGCTGGCTTGCCTGGTTTGGTTTAAGTTTGTACAGTTATTCACATTACAAATCAAATACTCTCTGTTTAATTTAATTGGCTATTTTAGAAATATTTTCAGTTTCATTCGGTGTCTTAATCATTGAACTCACATTGGCCTGTGCCTTTAATTTAAATTATTCCTGGAGGCCCTTATGTATAAAGTTTTAAAATGTCCATGTACTTAGAAATATATCCCGTTTCCACAGAACCATATTCACCTCGTACCAGCTGGACGAGCTGGAGAAGGCCTTTAACGAGGCGCATTACCCGGATGTTTACGCCCGAGAGATGTTGGCCATGAAGACAGAGCTGCCTGAAGACAGGATACAGGTGATCATATACTCACAATTAATACCCTGTTTTAAAATTATGATCTGACATTATTCATTCCACAATTGATAGTTTTTTTTTTTTTTTTACTTTTTTGTCCTCTAATCTGGAACTCAAAGTAATTTTTTGTAGCCTAAATTAAGTAAATGTATTATTTTATCTATTATTCGCCCTTATTGTTTTACTTGTAGGTTTATAAGTAACTATAGGCTTACTATTTCATGTCTTAATTCTGAAATCTGTAAAGGGGCTATAAGGTTATTGAAGTGATAACCTACTTTAGCCAATGATTGGCCTGCTACAATAATGCAACATCTGAACGTTATAATTATTAATAGGCCATAATGGAAATATACCACAATTATTCAAATCTACACATTTAAAGAAAGAAAGTAAGAATGAAAGAGAGACAGAAAGAAAGAAAGAAATAATTGGAAAAATTAGCCCTAAATGATCATTCGCATTTAATTGACTTTAGGCTATCTTTCAAATTCCTGACTTATCAAATTATTGTCTTTTTTTTTCAATAAAGTTAAACCAGTCTGGTAGAGTCTTATTCATTCTTCTTTTTTTTTAATGATAAATATCAGATAATTATTTTATAGGTCTATAAGATATATTCGAAATGATAACCTCTATTTCTAAAATCATAAGCCTGATAAATATTCAAACATAAATATGCCTTTTAAAGGAAATAGCATGTTTATCTTGTGAATATGCACCACAAATATAGGTCTTTATAGAATAGCAAATTATAATGTGTACAAGTTTCTCAGACATTGATGGGGGGGTATGCCCGCTCCTGCAGCCTCTCCCTCCTCCTCCTCCTCCTCCTCCTCCTCCTCAGCAGATCATCTCTCATCAGGTTCAGTTGGATGTGAAACAATTTGTTCTCGTAAAGGAGCCGCTAACGACCTAATCAAGCTATCAAGGCGGAAGGAGATTGCGGTGTGACCCGGACCATCCATCTGCCTGGCCGCCTTTTAATCTCTTTCTCATTACGCGCTGCAACAGAATAAATAATAAAAAGGAAATAAATAAATAAGCTCCCCTCCTAAATAAAATTAACACCCAATTTTCTCATTGAGTGTAATTAGTTAAATCAGACTGGCTCGTGAGCCTGCTGCAGGAGACACGCGGGGAGTTCAAATGAAATAACTACATTGAATTTATTAGCACGGGTCAATAGCGCGGCTCCCTCGAGTCCCGGTAGTTTAATTTCCCGTGATATTTGCCCGCCTGGCCGCCATCGATTGGGCCTGAAATTAACTTATTTTTCAATCAGCCTCCGCGTGCCCCAGGGTCACTCCTCCTCCTGCTTCCACACGTCTCTCTTTTGAGGGCCACAGAAGCAATTTCTCCTGAAAAAAAAAGTATCTTGTATGAAATAAGGGTTATCATCAGAATTACCAAGAAGATAAAAACGGTTTGATCGTTTTCAATTTAATATCATGTCGCAGCCCCTTCCCTCTTCCCTCTCACAACCATCAGAGCAGTCTAAGCAGGGTTTAACCATCCTGTGTTGTTGCTTTACAATCAATGAATCCTCTCTCTCTCTCTCTCTCTCTCTCTCTCTCTCTCTCTCTCTCTCTCTCTCTCTGACACACAGCCCTGAAGCATTGTGAAGTGTCTGTATGTGCCAGAGCTTCTATATTGGTAGCACAGGTAGCAGGAGATGAGCTCTGACTGGAGGCACAGATCCCTCTCACCTGTAGCCTCTATGGTGGGAAATCCATATACTTAATCCAAACACAGGACTAGTTATCTTAAATTACTTTGATCACACTAGAGATTTCAACAATGGTCGAAATTAAAATATCTTCTTAAATACTGAAATGCTAATAATACAATATCTGTAAAATATCAGACCAACCTGTCAGACCAATGTTTTTACCTTATCATCGGATAGAAAGTGTATGAAACAGTTATTCAGCAAATAATTTGTTATTCCAACCCTCCTGAGAAAAGCCTTTTAAAAACTTAATGTGGTTTGTTGGCAACCTTTGAAAGAACAAATAATCCTGGAGGTTGCTGTATATCTTAACTCTGGTTCCTCTGATGTCAAAAGTTACACTAGTTGCTCCACCATCTTCCAATGATTGGGAGTAGACTCATCATCTAATCTGTGCCATTTCTTTAATCAGGACAAACAATCTCACTTTGGACTACTGCAGCTATTTTCTCAATTTTAAGAGTTCATCTTCCTAGTTTCAAAGAGGCGTTAGAGAAATGGACTAAATCTCAGCTCAAGAGTAAGAAATTGTCCTGTTGCCAAGTTCTTCAAAACTTACTTCTGCAGGCCATGGATTAAGGGACTTGATTGTCACGGTTGGAAGTGAGACTGGAGTGATGGTAACTATTAATCAATGTGGGTGTCCTCATGTCACAGGTGTGGTTTCAGAACCGCAGAGCCAAGTGGAGGAAGAGGGAGAAGTGCTGGGGCCGCAGCACTGTGATGGCAGAGTACGGGCTGTATGGAGCCATGGTGAGGCACTCCATCCCCCTGCCGGAGTCCATCCTCAAGTCTGCCAAGGACGGCATCATGGAATCCTGCGCCCCATGGCTGCTTGGTGAGGCTGCCTCCAAACTGTAACCACATATATTCAGCATCTATGTCTCATGGTGTCAATTTACCATGATTCAACTTACAGTGAAGTGTTTCCCCTTAAAAAAAAAAGGACAGATATGCAGACAAAAAAAAAGCCTTCTTTTCAGAGTAGATGATTTATTTTGCAGAGCATGACCAATGAGTACATGACATGGACTTTGCATTAAATCAAATATTTTCATCCTCTAATCTGGACATGCATCGTCATCCTCCATTCATACATTATCTTCTAAACTGGAACTATTTTTGCTTGCTATTTTCAGTCCAAGATGGCTTACCAATCAACAGACGCAATTCTAAATCTGAATACCCGCAACTCTTTGCAGGGATGCACAAAAAGTCCTCGGAGGCAGCAGTTCCCCCGCCCACGGGAAAGTGCGACGAGCAGCAGCAGCAGCAGCAGCAGCAGCAGCAGCAGCCGAGCTCTCAGAGGGCAGAGGAAGCTGAGGCCGAGGAGAAGAGGTCCGAGGTCACGTCCACCATTTCTAAAGAGGAGCTGAGAGAGAACAGCATCGCTGCACTCAGAGCCAAAGCACAGGAGCACAGTGCCAAAGTGCTGGGGACCGTTTGTCAGGAGAGACTACAGGAGGGGAAACAAGAGAGACAGGCGGCTGAGGAGAAAACTTGCGACCCTGTGAGTCCAGCAGATAAGGAGAGGAGTCCATAAAGACTTTTCTGAGGACTGGTGCTCTTATGTGTACAGACTAAACCAGCATTCCTGGTTTCATTCCTCCTTGACTCCTCTAAAGCGGCCTGAAACTGGACTTCTTTTGGAAGAACACTGATCTGGCCTAAACTGGCTCTGCACATAAGATGCAAATGCACTTTTTCTGATTTATTCCAAACGTAGTTGTTTTTCGCTTACAAAACAGCAAAGAAAATTTGACTGACTGGAAATAAAACTGTCAACATTAGTGTATATAGATCCCATAATTATATGTAGAGCAAGACGAGCAACAGTTTATTAAAAAACAACAGTTAGAGCACACTTTAGGGACTACAAATGAACAGTCTCAAGGTCTATATTTCAATCCTGAACATTTGTTTATAAAGTCGATTGTACAGCTCCTAAATTGTGACGTGAGATCAGAACTACCCCGCCGACAGAACTCTTTAAAGAGAAAGAAAGTATTTGTTCTCTTTTATCGCGCTGTACATACTTGATATATTAATCTCTGGCACTAAGGCACATTTCGAAAGATGTTTTCTTCTAGTCTTAAAAATGTTTGTGTTTTCATTTGCAGACATATGTATAACTCCAAATATAAAGCATAAAATAGAAATCACCTTTTATTAAATGTGGCTTTTTGTTGTCTATTTTTTCTGCTGTCTAAATGTGTAAAAAAAAATGATTTTATTTTGAAGGCCTCTTTTATGGAGAGAAGTTGCCCTCTTTGTTGGAGTATCTTCTTGTTGTCACTTGCTGCTCTGCCGGGCTCATTAGAGTCCACAGCTACATGCTTGGGTTGGTCTCTATAATCTGTTGCACTTCAGAGCCTTCCATTTCAGATGAAACTAGGGGACTGGTACTTTTGGCACAAGAGGGAAAAAAATAGTGAAAGCATCCTTATTGTAGGATGACCTCCCTCTGATTTTAATCACTTTAATAGATGCTACCACCAGCTGATCATCAAGCTGTTTCATCCTCTTGTTGAAATATTTAGCCACAGTCTAACAGCTTTATTTGTTGGCAATCTTCATTTTTTCTGACTTTGTGTCAGGCGCAGCTTAACAACACCTCTATGTGTCTGCACTAGCTTTAATCCATACCACATTTTACACCTCATCATCAGTTAGCCGATTGAGCTTCCTAATGAGTTCTACTCCAATTAAACAGAGAGCAATTTCAAAGGGCAAAGGGGCGACTATTATCGGTATGCTGCTGTGTGTCTCAACACTGAATGGCTCTCAGATTGGAACCATAATGTCACAAGATGGGTAAAAGGTTGCTAATTATACTGTTGACAGAGATAAGGATACACACTATAATTAATGAAGGCTGGGGAATGGACTGGAGTGTGACAGAGTGTTGTAAGAGAAAGAATGATAAAATGAACCCTGACGTTACACTAATCAGTCTGTAGAGTAAGAAGCTTGACCACATAAGAAAAGGAATGATATTCATAAGATTTATTTTTAAATTTAGCTCATGTTGCAACATAAAGGAAGTTCTGTTTATTCAAACATAGCAGACCAAAGCCTGAATTGTAATCTATTAAAAAATATTAATTTTGAAGGCAGAACCACTTTAACCGGACTTTACTTTGTAAAGGCTAGTTTTTTTTTTGTTTTCTTGTTTAACAATTCCGCAACAAAGGAAGCAATTTCAAAGTATTTCACACACCAAATGTTAAGTCATCAGTGATTATGAGATGAAAACAAACTATATAAAACATGGATGTGGTCTCTGTGACATCAGCCATTAATACTGAAGGGGAGTTTTGAAAATGATGGCGGTCGCTCGCCATATTGAAAATCTTGTCTCAAACTAACATTGGTCAACCTAAAGTATATAGTATATAACGCGGCCACTTGCAGTCATAACAGTTACAACCCTAATTATTCATAACTCTTAACCTAATATAAAATCAAAACTGATCATTTAAACCCCCCATACAGTATGTGATAAAACAATGAACAAGACCAACGTCCAACTGGACAAAAGTAGACCTAAAATACATTTTTGTACCAGACTGTAAACACGTTTTCTTTCTGCTGTTAAAATGGCCATGTTAACATGTATTTGACTTCCGTGGCTTTTGCAGCCAGCCTCAAATGGACACTTGAGGAACTGAGGAAATTCATTTTTTTGCACTTCCGCATTGGCTTAATTTTTCAGCATAAGGTTGACGCTGGGATAAAAAGCCATTCTTTAATACAAACTCTTCATACCTGAATGTTTGACAGGTGCGTCAGAGAAGGGTCACATTTAAAGACAAGATGCACACGGTCTGGTTTTACGCTGATGTAGGCTATTTATTTGATCATACAACAGTTAGGTCTAACTGACCTTCATCAGGTATTATACCTGATAAAAGCCATTCTGCAACATGGCGTTATGTTGGCAATGTTTGATGGTCGTGTCTGTTGGTTAAATGTCTCAACAACAGTCAGATAAATTGACGTTACACTTTTGACCCTTCAGGATGATTACTCTTGATGGTCTCTTGAAATTCATGCAGCACTTATGGTGGCAAAGGAGAATGAGACTGATATCTCTAAATATTAAGCTTGAATTAAATACAACTTTTTTTTAATGCATGCACAGCTTGGTTGATTTCATTGGTTGGTTTTGTTTTCAAGTCTGTTTGAATTTGCAGGACAACAACATTACTGTAACAGTGTCTAGACTGGGAGTTAGGCCCACTACAAGAGTCAATTTGTTTCGTTGTAATAGAATAAGTGTGTGCTAACCAGTTGATGATGTGACGCGATTCTTTTGATAAATTGACAAAAGGGAAATGCAGATAGGCTAACATGGAAACATGGTGTTACCACAGGCGACGGAAAATGCGGAGAGGACGGAGAAGAAGAGGGCTGTCTGAACAAGCTGCATTTTTTTTACAGTAAGTTTCCGTCGTGAGCCGAGAACAACTTCTGTCTGTGCTGTTTGGCTAAGCTACTGTTCAAATACAGCTGCTAGCTAGCCAGCATGAGCTGTGTGTGGTATGGTGCAATGTTACAATTCACTTAGCAGACACTTTTATCCAGAGTAACGTACATCATAGATTAAGTACAACAGTAATCCATTCATACACCTCCACCGAAGCAGCAGGAGCAATGCAGGGTTAAGTGTTACTCAGCTGGGGATTGAACCCTTGACCTACTGGTTGAGCAGCGATGACTCTACCAACTGAGCCACAGCCGCCATATAGTAGCATGAATACTGCTGTTTGTGGTGACTATGATCTGATCAAGATTTTAATGGTTTGTTATGGTAGCTGTATAGCCTGCAACTGATAAACATTTAATATTGTTTTCATTTTAGACTATAACATAATATGTTATAGTGCCTACGGAAATAATTGTGCTGCATTCTACATTAAGACGCCTATAGCTTATTTTTAATTCTGTTGTCAACACAAGATAAACTGAGTATGTTTTGTAGTAATACTTATTGTAATGTTTGATATAGGCCTACTTGTCTGTAAAACAAATTAAATTCCAATCAGTATTTACTGTAGGCATTTACTAACCCGACCTTTTTCTCCTCCACTGCCTAAATACATAAATATAGGCCTATAACCATAACTTCTATGTGGTTTTCTGGCAATCATATTCCCATATGAACAAACAAATTGATTCCTCACAATTCTCCCTGAGATTAATAACCATTTGTGGCAGCGTGACTGAAATGGTTTGCAATAGACTGAGCGCTCACCTCAGACCCTCAACCCAATTCAGTTATTGAGGCCAAGACATACAGGGTTAGGATTATTCCTCTAAAGTGCACAGCTATTTAATCCTCTGAGAGTGGAATGGGAGGTTATGATAGAGCAGATTTACTGAAGATCAAGCTGTTTACATTGGATATGAGGAGGTAATTCACAGTATCCCTGATGGACAGTCTGCTTGGTGAAGACCATTTTAAGATCATCTCTATCCACGCAAAGTGAGATCAGAGGGGGGTTTATGGAAAGATTTGGTCTAATGCAATATTAACATTCAATTTTCTTTTGATAGGGGTAAGAGCAGTATGATTTCAGTGCTGAGATTAAGTCCGTGCAGATCATTTTGGGAGGGCTGCTGGCTTTGGTTGCATGTGAAGTTGAGATAAAGCACAAGATGTAGTTAAGAGAACCAAAGCGAGGTGAAATGTGGTGTTGTGCTGCCCTCTGCTGCAGGGAGTGATCAATACAACTGAAGACAACAAAAGCACAATCTTAGTTTGATTTAGTGCTGATTCAGTAATTTGCTGCATCAATACAAACAATGCACATACCTCAGTTTATATCAAACTCAAATCTTGTATCCAAGCCTACTGAAATAAAACCATCACAAACTAAATAAAGGTTCTGGTTTTCTTAATCTGTTAAAATCGTAATCTTAAAATCTGTTATTTTCTCGCCCTTTTGGTCTTCTAATGTGTCTGTGTGAATTGTCATTATCCTTCTTTACTCATAAGCAGGTTGGCAGCATGCTGGTTAAAGAACATTCATAAGGTTGATGTTAAACATGTTTAACACAGTAAACAACTATTCTGGAGCTTGTGATCATATATAAATGGATTATTAATTTGTCTTTTATTTCAGAATAGTCTTCCTCTTTTTTGTGCACCTAACTGTATTCATAACTTCTTTCAATGCTCTTTTTTTACAAAAAGATCTGTTCTGAATCCACCGCTCATGGTGAGGCGAAAGCAAAAACTGTACAGGAACTAATAAGAATCAATTCATATTAATCCGTTTGACAGAGACTGTCTATGGTTAGAGATGACAATATTTACATTAATTGAGTTGATTAAAACAAGTTTTTTTTTTTTACCTTCAGTATCATCAATGTTACCTTGTCGTAAACTTGTATTGATTGACAGTTACACAAAGTACCCAGAGCTCAGCTATTCTTCCTGGGGTCCACATTAAAAAGAGTGTGTGGCCGTGTGTGTGTGTTAAAATAGAGTGCATCTTTATGAATTTGATTTATTATTATTTATTTTATTATCTTCTTTATGTGTCATTCTAGTTATAATAACACATATGATATGCAATAGCGTTGTAACGAAAACTGGCATTGAAAGCTTTATCTTGCTGATTGCGTGTAGTTCAGCATTTCTCCACATGGTGGCAGTGTTGAACTTCATTGAAAATCGAACCTTTCTTAAATTGATTTACCATATGTGTGAGTTTTATCACAAGTTCACAATCACATCTTTGATATGATGTAGCCAATACAAAACATCTACTGCTGAAATTATCTTCATTCTTTTGCATTAATCCTTTTCTGTCAGGCGTATGTTGCACTCTCTCTCTCGAGGTGACATGATCTGATATCTTGATCAATATTTGTCATCCCTTGTCACTCCTCCTCTGCCTCAGTGATGAGGCTGTCTGCACTGCAGTGAGTTAATGGAAACTGGATTGATACTGCCGCTAAATGATCTGTCCTGGATGGGGGCTGATCTCACCCCCAAAGCTTCATTTTCCCCCACAAACGCCATACTTGGTTGATCACACAGAACAGCTCTGTGTTACCCA